GACAACGTGACGGGGAATAATGTGTGTGTAGGTAATGAGTAATTGAACTGCAGTCAGAGAGAGACGTATTGTTGAAGTTAACGCGTTATTATAGTTTGTTTTAGCTCGATTGTTGAAAACAAGTGTATCGTAAAGTTATATTCGGAAAGAATAAACCAGTTTTATAAAGTAAATACTTGTGTCGCTAAAGTTTCGTCGGAACGAAGTTACGGAAAATTAATTAACAAACGGAAACGTAACAAGACCTATTAGCATCATTTTAACTGCTGCTATTAGCAAAGTGTTGGAATAGATTGTTATAGATTTTTTAAGGATCTTAAAATCTGGCATTTAATCAGAAATTGTCACTTTAGATTTTTTTTTTTTTTCAGTTATCAATCATTATTGTTATTTAATATGTTGGCTTTGTTTAAATAAGATGACATATAATATAACATTTACGTGGAAATAAGAGGCCTGTTCATCCATCGAGACTGTCCTATAAAAACAACAAAACAACTCAAATTTAGCCCTGACAATTTAAATATTTATTGAGTCGTCCCTAAAACTTTTTAAAATTTATTGCACTGACTCCATCCGAAGGGTTTGTTTTAGAGCAAAGCCACATTGGACTGTTTGCAATGTCCACCACGGGAAATTTAACCCCGGATTCTAGCGTTATAAGTTCGTAAATTTATCACTGCCACAACGGAGGACTATCCGAAGGGAATCTATTCTGAAGGCCAACCACCCCTATTAGAAAAATAAATATGCCTAAGCTGGAGATGATTCTTACCCTGCCAAAATTTGTATTTGTGCACCCTTGTTTTATCATCAGTTCTCTTAACAATCTTCAGCATCTCAAGCAGATCCCCTAATAACTCTTTTTCTTCTTCCTCTTCTTCTTTTTTTTTTTTTTTAAGAGAAAGCAGTTTCAGATATCTTTGCCTGTCCATGCATGACAACTTTTCTATCCCAGGTATCCTTGTACCCTTCCATAAACCCTTTCCAACAACTCAATATCGTTCGTTAGATAAAAGCCCAATGAGGTGGTTAGGCCAGGTGGTTAGGGCGCTCTACTCGCAATCTGTAGGTCGCGGGTTCGAATCCCCGTCACACCAAACATGCTCGCCCTTTCAACCGTGGGAGCGTTATAATATGACGGTCAATCCAACTATTCGTTGGTAAAAGAGTATCCCAAGAGTTGGCGGTGGGTGGTGATGACTAGGCTAGCTGCCTTCACTATAGTCTTACACTGCTAAATTAGGGATGGCTAGCGTTGATAGTCCTCGTGTAGCTTTGCGCCAAATCTATAACAAACAAACAAACAACCCAAATGAGGCGTACCCAGTGGCCTATACAATGAAATGACAACCTTTTGATACTAACACTTAATGTTTCTGTAAATACAACTCATTTCTATTAGCACAGACAAAAGCAACCGCTGGACGAAATTTTTTCTGGCAGAGAAAATAATTTTCAATCTTTTTGTTTTGTTAACAAAAACAATTTATGTATACCCCTTTCTCCATATGTAGCTTACTGGCTATATTTTAAGCTCGCTATCTGGAGTAGTAAAATATTGATTTATTCCAGCCACTTTCCAGGAACACTTGCACGAAAACTGCAGGAACAGAATACTACCAGACTTGACGTCACTACATCTCGTAAACGCTTATTTTACGTCACTACGTTGTCCAATGATCGTGAGCTATTTTCAAAACTTGGTTGCAGAAATTTCCTACGTAGGAAATATGACGAAGTTTTACACGTATTGTAGATTTTCGTACTACGTTGTAAGCATTGAGGTTCTGTATGTAGATAATTTAACGTGTTTCAGCGTATGATATTGGTACTGAAGAATGGCAGGAGTTTTTGATTTAGAACTACAAGAAGTGGATAATGAAGCATTAAGGAGTAATGTATCTGATGACGATGCTATTGATGTTGATGAACAGGTTTGTTGGCGCGTTTTTTTTTTATTACGCCTAGGCCTAATCTTATTCTAACTCAAAGAGGCACTTAATTAACATTATACCTGATCGAGTAGACAGTTGTGTACCTACTACCGGTACATGGTTTGGAGCCTAAGTTGCAAAAACTACGCTCTGACCTTCAAATTCAACTTTCAATAAAACAATTTGTATTATGTGAACTGGCCCCGTTACTAATGGTAATACTAATAGTAATACTACTAGTATTAGTATTACTAATACTATAACTATAACACTTGCGTTAAATTAGGATTATTGTATATCAAAATGCACCAGCTGTAACTATAAAATTGTAACAGTTGTATATTATAATATAGCCATTAGTATTACTAGTAGTAGTATTAGTGTTACAGTTAGTAGATAGAAACTAGGGCAGGTATTTGTTTCGTTGTGAAACTAAAAATCATTGTCATGGTTAAGCATCAGATGGCAGCAAATTCACAAAAGTAAAAAGTAAAGGGGTGGTGGTTCTAATAAGGTATTTTTGTTTCTAAGTCTGTTTGGTAAAACATTTATGAAAGAGGATGTTTATTTGTGCCACTATCATTAATACTACTGGCTTCATGTTTAACAAGCTGTTACGATTTGCATGAAATCAGCGTTTTTTTCTTTAAGTTGTAATGTAAGTATTCTTTGTAGACTTTTTATGTAAAGGTTAACCATCAAGTGTAATGTTAGACAAACATTGTGTGCAAAACTTTATTGTGATTTTAAAAAAATGGCCTGGTTGAAAGCAAAGGAAGTACATTTGATGTAAATTGACCTATTTTCTTGAAAGTGCACCAATATCTCGTAATTCTTGAGGTCGGACATCCAGGAACTTTGCCCTCCTACAATGCAATGTCTGCCTAGCAATCCAGGCGAAGGGGGCAAATAAATAGTGCAACGTAGAGGAAATTTTGTTCATTCTGTACACTTGCCCACTGTCTAGACTCGTATTTGTAACGACTATTTGTGTTGGACTTTTGTTGTTCCAAACCTGCAACTATGGTTTAGAGTTGTTGTGTATTCAATTACACCAATAACAAGTTGAAAAGACCTGAACGTTTCTTTTATTTGATGCTCAGTCCTCCAGCTTGCCTCAATAGTAAGCATAAAGCAAACATTTGTGGGATTCTATTACTATCCTAGAACAGTCTTAAGAAAATTTGTCGTTAACTGTTTTAAAAACTAGTTCAACCTGGTAGTTTACTTTTTAGTGCATGTTTTCTCACAAAAACAAGCTGTGAAAAAGAAGTGTTGTGGCTATAAACTATCAACCTCAGAACATAGGAAGCAATAGGTAAGCTGTAAATGTTGTCTTCCAATTTTTTTTAACATAAAGTAATTGTACACTTCTGGGTACTGCACACTGGGCCATTCTGTTAGGTCGTTGATCCACGAGTCGGCAGGGTGCTGGTAGGGATGAGAATCAAGCCCAGTTATTTGTAACTTTACAGATATTTTGTTAATGCCTCGGCCAACAACTTCATGTATTCATAAAACATTGCAATTGATAATTTATCTATCAAACCATAATATATGAATGATAATTGAAGAGTTTGTACAGTTGCTTCAGCAGTAACACATGTATACTGTAGACCTATATAAATTGCATACATGCAGATGTTCTTTTGCCCCTTTGTCAAGATGGCAATTGCATTAACAGGCAAAATCGTGACTGTGACGTCATGCCGACTTCAAGAATTATGTACATGATTTTGACAGCTTTGGTCTGGTTTTAAGACTTCTCTCTTAATGGTTAATGTTTGTGTTAATATTAAGGGTGTCTGAGTGCTAATTTCCACAGATATGTTGCTCTAGCAGTTTGTGCAGAAAATGCAAAACAAAATTGAAATGAATTAGTTGAAACCAAGTGACATTTAATTGTTAAGTCCCAACAATTTGCACAATATTTATTTTAAATTTCGAGTTTTAACAGGAAAGGGTTAAGTTTGTTGAATTGCAAGCCAGTACGAGTTTTTTTTTTTCATTCCTTTGTCAAGCCATCCATAAAAAGGTATGGCATTTCTTTTAATTAAAAGACCACTGTTGGTATACTGTTAAGAAGACTGTGCTCAGAGTAAGAAGAGTTTAACATACTTTATGTGCAGCTCTTTCAGAAAATTAGTAGAATGATCCAAAGGTCATACACTCAAATCCAGGTGAGTAAACATTGATCACCACCCAGTTTTGATATTATTTAAGAAAGGATACTGATTTATTATTGGAAAGTGATCAAAATCTAAATTTGATTGTTTGGTCCTTCATGATCATGAAAAATGTCTTAACTGGAATCTTGTCTGACTTTTTTTAAAAATCTTTTCCAGATATTAAACTTGTGTCTTCTTGTTTTATAGACCAGTTGCCTGGTGTATGACAGGTATTAAGCTCAAATCTGAGCTAAGAAAATTATAATAAAAGTTTAAATTACCATAAGATAAACTGGTGCCCAACTCATGATTTTCCCATGACCTTGAAGTAAGGCCTCAGGATGGGATTTGTTTGTTACAAGGCAAGCATATGGTAGTTTTGAGTTGTTAGAAAGTGCTTTATTAGCAAGTGCTAGTGGGTTAACTCTTCAGTAAAAAAGAAAAGTATCTTAGTGTTGTGGTTGATTAATCTCTTAAGCCATCCAAACTAGTGTTGCTAGTGGTAGGGCACATAGGATTTTAGGTTGTATCTACAGAATTATTGAACACAAGTCTTAAGAGGCCATACTTATATTTTATAGGTTACTGATTAGACCATATTTGGAATAACATGTTCAATTTTTATGCTTTTTATCTTAGAGGGGACATTGGGTTCTTGGAAATGGATGAAATGAGTATACTAGGATAATACTTTCGATAGAAAAGTTGTCATATGAGGACAGTTTAAGATTTCTGAAATTGTTATATGTGGAAAAAGGAAGAGTTAAAGAGGATCTGATTGAGGTGTTTAAGATTGCAAGGGAATTGATAAGTGTTGGATGAGAATAGTTTGAAAAGGGGCACATACATTCTGGCAGGGTAGGAGTCATTTTCAGCAAAGACAGTTTTATTTTTTAACAGAGTAATTTGTCTTTGGGATTGGTTTCCTTCAGATGTGGTGGAAGTAGTAATTTTATGGGAGTTTAAGGGAATACTTGATAAATATTTGAATGATAGGGCTGAATTCGAAGTTTTTTTAATAGTTTAGTGAATGGGATGGTTTTGATGACCCAACAGGTCCCTTATTGCTTTTAAATGATATGTTTTGTTGTTTTCAGAATTCAAAAGAAACCATTTAAAAGCTCAGAGAGGATGTTAGCAACATTCTATGAAAAATATTGGATTTGATTTGAGTCATGTAGATATTAATCCTTTGGTGGTGAGTAGAAAGATTGAGAGAGGAAAATTAGGTAAAGCACCAGATCAGGCAAGATTTTCCCAGGGTTTAAAGGAGGTCAAAGATCAAATATGCAAATATCTTTCTTTCATTTTAAGGCAAAAGACATTGGGTACATGCATGAGGATTGGAGACTTGCTAATAATGTTACTGTTATTTTTAAAGGGGCTGTGAGAATTAAAGACCAATTAGTCTTACTTCTGTAGTGGGAAAAATTCTAGAGTCTGATAAAAGAAGCTTTGCAAAATCATTTAGTGAAATATATTGCAGAATTTACGTGTATTCACTGAAAGGAAATGTTGCCTTACTGTTAACTTTTTTTAAAATAAGTTGTTTGTTATCTGGATGATGGAAAGGATGTGAACTTGGTGTTCTTTGGATTTTCAAAAAGTGCCACACAGAAGGTTAGCTATGAAAATCACATCAGTGGGGATTGGAAGAACTTGTTCATTGGATTGTACAGTTTTTGGGTCAGAGAAAGCAAAAAAAAAAGTTATTAACAGAGTCCAGTCAATGTGGCCCTTTGTGTTACTGGTGGTGTGTTTCAGTGCTTAGGCCTTGGACTTTTTAAAACTGTCTTTAGTGGACTCTAGCCTGTCTTTTCCAAATTGTAACCTCATCATATTATCTTCAGAATGTAGCTTATATGTATATCTTCTAATATTCAGCATTTCATCTGCAGCTTTGGTCTTCCATAAATCCAACAAACCTCAGATGGGCAGTTTAACTAATTGACTAACATCTAATTCAGGTCACCTCTTGTTCTGCAATCCAGAGAAAAATTCAAATTTTTGAGTATCTCTTCATATCTTACATGTCTCAAACCAGGAACATTTTATAAGGCCATTTCACAAATATCCTCATCTTTTTTGATAAGGAGACCAAAACGAAATACAATATTCCAGTTGACGCCTTATTAGGGTTTTGTATGAAGTCAGGGCAGGAAATTCACAGTGGCAATTGCCACCATATTTCTCAAAATGGCCATGGTTCCTTCAGAAAATCACTTAAATCCACAGCCACCATGGCCACCCTTTGGTATCTCTTTGGCTGTCGTGCCCTCAGGATCTAAATTTGTATTGCATACCACAGTAAAGAGAAAATCATTGGGGATCACAAACACTGGACTTAGAACCTACAGAAACTACCTTGTTACAAATAATATATCACATACAGTGCATGTAGTGGAGGGAGTGAAGTTTTTTGCTTTGATTGGCAGTAAAACATTTGTGCAGTTTGAGTCACCATACTGCAGGCTCTTGGTAGTAGTAAGCAATTTAAATTGGTGCTCAAAAATAAACCTGCAGAACTTACACAAAGGTTCACAGTGACAGCAGTATGTGACGATCAAAGTCAGCATGTTCATACACTGATCAGAGTGAAGTGCAAGACTGAAAATACTCCTTACATTAAACATGTCGAAAAAATTAAGAGGGAGAATTACATGAAACTTTTTTCTTTGGTGGCCAAGTGCCAGAAATATTAACAAGTTTTCCTCGGTAAATATGTAGATTACATCCCGAGTTTTTAGAAAATGAAGGGAAACAGGATATGTCAATAATTCGGATCGATAAATTTTATGTGCAAACCCACCAAAGGTTTAGGCGTATTACATTAGTTATCTACGGTTAACATTACTGAATTACAAGTAGTGAGTTGTGCAATGCAATGTGTGACTTATAGGTTATGATCATGTGCTATACTTTAGTATAGGCCTAGTTTACTGTTTGTCAGCACTTGGCTACGTTAAAAATTATGCGAAAAAATACTAGTAGTAGTATTGTTTGGAAAAAGAATGTTGACCTTATGTCATGGCAACGTGTCTTTTTATCTATCTGTCGGTCCATCAAGGTTTTCAAAGGGCTGCTGTTTGGAGACTGTGTTACTGATTTTTGTCAATCTTGGTCAAGTGGTCAGATATGTTGGGGTTGAATTTATTGGTAGAAATTAGGCCTTTAAATTTCTTCTTCTCCCAGAGATTTTGTCTGGTTCTCAAAGTTAGACAAAGTAATAAATGGATAGAGGTGCATAAAAGTTTTAGACAATTCTTAGGTCAAAGATAATTTTGAGTTAGGATGGGAAAAAGCTAAAAATCTTATAAAGCACTTATTCTCTTTATGTGGAAGTCTGATCTTTATCAAAGTTGAATAAATTAGTAAGTGGATAGAGATGCCTGACATTTATTCATGATTTGTAAGGTTACCAGAGGTCAAATCCAGATGGGTCATGGTTGAAAGGCCATATCATCGTGTTTGTTGACTTGCATCCATGAATTTACTATTTCATGAATTTATGTCAATAAGTTTGGTATGAAACTGTAGAATATAATTCAAATTTTAGTATTATATCTTACTCAATGTGGTAATTTAAAAGTAAATATTAAAAAAACACAATTAAACATTGATTTTTGTGTGTCATGTGGTATATTGAATGCAGCACTGGTTCAAACTAGATGTTTGTGATGTCCAAATACTAAGTCTGTAGTTTCGTATGAATTAGGAACTCAAAAACAGATATTGACAAGCTACAATATAAAATAAGAGTCTCATCTTTTCAATTTGCTAAGGTATTGCTCATGTAATAAATCAAACACAGTGACACCCCACCCACCTCTCTCTCCATTTTTGGAAACACTCCCTTACATAAAATTCTTTATATGACATGAATAACCAATCGTAAGCTCAGAATGTTCCCCTAGTGGTTTTCTCAGCCATTTTAACGTCTTTGGATGCCATCTTTTTTTAGACTGAAATACAGCTTAGTTACTAAGCTTGATAAATTATAATGAAATTCTGTGGCATTGATATAATAATTTGTGATTTTTGGTAATTGAAATGTATATATAAAACCTAAAAAAAAATTATGTTGTTTCATATCCTCCATGTGCAAAATTTTAAAAGGCTTAGGAACCTATGTCAAGCAGCAACCGAGTACAAAAATCATAACTAGAAGAGATAATTGTTTGCTTCACTTCTTTACTTACTGTTCTATGTTTTAAGAAAAATAATTTTTAAGGACTTATTTCTAAGTAGTAAAAATCTATATAAATATATAATGTATAATAATTCAAATGTGACTGTATTTTACAAAATACTAGTCCAATAAAACACAGCAAAGAGAAGTTACTTTGTAAAGACTAAAGGTCAGTTTTATATTATTGGATACGGTAACATGAGTGCATGTGTGCCATGGCATTGTAACTTCTGTATTGTTAGCCTGGCATGGCTGAAAGGTCAATATAATAAAAATAATAAATATATATATATAAGTGTAAAATGTTATGAGATTTAAGCTATTTAGTCCAAACATTTATGTTTTCATGTTATCATTTGTAGTCATTCTAGAATGAAAAAGGCATAACTTATATTTATTTCCTAATTTTTTTAACGTGGTTATGAGATCAATCAAATTGACCAAACCTGTACAGAGATTCTTTACTGAAAACAACAGATAAAATATAAAGTTATTTTCTTAAGAAACATTTGATAACTATGTGGATGTTATAAAGATTTCGTGTTTGAAATCTGAAATCTTCGGATGCTTAAAAGTATTTCTAAAAAAAGGCATGAGAAAAACATTGCTTTACAAACCTCAAGACTTAATAAAAAAAATTGATATTTTCCATATGCAAGCATTGTAATGTTTACTGATAATCTGCCAAATTTTATTAACATATGTTTACTAATTTGAAAGTTATAGCATGAAAACTATAACAAGCACAAAATGATTACGAGGTTGGTCCAAGGGACTGAGCCTGTGCTGAAAGAGTTAAAATGCTTCTCCTCCCAAGGATTTTGTTTGATCCTTCTCAAAGTTAGACAAATTAATAAGTGGAGAGAGGTGACTAAAAGTTGTATACAATTTTCAGGTCAAATGTCATTTGGGGTCAGGAGGGGACAAAAACTAGGAATATTATTGAGGTCACAGGGCATTTTAGATCAGCATGATACCTCTTTTTTTTTTAATCTTAAAGCTGATGTACTGTTACTTCATAAGTTTCATTGGTTAAAATTAATACCTACCTACCTGATAAACATAACATGGAAAGATAGGACAGTTTCCCAAGCCCCTAGTGAAAAAAAAATAATGCCATATTTACTAAACTAATTGTAAAACTCATTTCTATTTCATTAATATTTATGTCTACTGTGGCCTTAGTGCCCTCCAGTGAATTATTTTTGCCCTGGTGCCCTGGCTGTTGGGCCTTGGCATCCTTGAAAATGAGAGAAAATCCAAGGCCAAATGGCCTTACCATAAAAATGATGAATTTCCCGACCTGAGAAGTGATTAGAACTTCCTTGATCTGGAAATAAAAATTTTTTGTAAATATGTCCCAGAACCCTATATGTTATTTTCAACACATCCAAACATTCTGTTGAAGACTTATAACTTTTATCTGTTACATCAAATCTTTCTTGTTCTCCACAATGTTATTAGTTTTCTCACACGTAAATGTCTTTCAAGATTTCTATATTTTGAACTTAAATAAACATCTCTAGGCAAATGTAGATTGATTCTACTTTTTAACTGAATATCTTAAGAAAGGTTCAATCACATGTAAGGCATAAATGGAATGGATCAGAATGTTAAGAGATCTGTCCTTACAGGGACTTAACTTGTGGGTATTTGGTTCACTCTTATGAGACAGTTGCTCTAACAGCTTGGTTTGGGCTCCATGCAGGTAGATCTGTTGTTAAGTGTTTTGTGTTGGCTCCAAGATCATAGAAATGATAAACTTATAAGAATTTGGAACAACCATGTTTTGAACAGAATCTTGAAATAATGTGAAGTGGATTTCAGCTTATTCATCAGTTTTGTTAGTGTTATAACTGAGAATATGTGTACGAATATTTATCTAAATATATGTATGTATATCCACATTTTTTGTTTCTTCCTGATAGAGCTTGAACAGAGAGCCAGATGTTAATGCAATATTAGAGTAAGTATTTTTTGCATTGTTGCCAAATTAACACTTCTTCCTGAAAATTATAATTAATGGAAATTATGTGAAAACAGAATTAAAGGCTTATAAAGAAAAAATGTTGATATAATTTATTTTTGTAAAAAAATATTAAGTATTATCAGGTCTGAAGTGATTGTATTATTAAAATGTCCCTTGGTTATAGTTTACAAGATCTCAATCCATCATCCATGGCTCCCTTCAGGTAGTCCCTAGAAATGTTGCTTAGTTTTGGAAAGAAGACATTAATACAGTATTCCTCGGGTATAGTTTCCAAATTCATGTGAAAACTGAAATTGGTTTTAGAAAAGCTTTCTGTTGTTAGTTATTTACTGAGTGGTAAATAAAAGGTTAATTTTTCATTTTTTTGATGAAACTACTTAACTATGAGGTTTTTATCCAAAATGCAATACTATGTGCAGTGTCAGTACTATATCTGTGAATATACAGTTGTACGTTTATATACATATGTAGTATTTTATTGCAAAATTGAGTGTGAGATAGTTACAAAAAACTGTATTGTATGACATTAATCAACAGCCCCATTAATTGAGCACATTTGATAAATTTATTAGTACATAATTCTTCAAACCATGATATGTACAAGTGAACAAAAAGTTAGCGGAGGGTGCTGCTAGCCAGTTATCTTAAAGTTAGCGGAGGGTGCTGCTAGCCAGTTATCTTAGAGTTAGTGGAGGGTGTTGCTAGCCAGTTATCTTCCTTCTAGTCAGCAGTTGAATGACAAAAATAAAAAAGTTTGGTAGCAGGTGTTACCAGTTGATTTCCCTCTTGTCGAAGTTCTGAAGAAGAAAAGAGTTTGGTTGGTGGGTATTAGATGTCTTCTCTTCATTCACCAGTTGAGCAACAACAACAATAAACAAGTTTATGGTGGGTGTTGCCAGCCAGTTGCCTTCTTCCATCTAATCAGCAGGTTAGAATTAGTAACAGAATCTCATCTGATTCAGCCTTGTCACTTAATCTACCAGACACACTAGAATCAGAATCATTTTATAGACAGGATTTGTATCAAATTTTCTTTTCTTCTTTTTTTCCATAATTATAGTCAGAAATTCTTATTTTGATTGATTGATTATTATCATGACAATCAATTTAATCATAATTTTTTATTTATTGACTTAATTCAAATTTCAGTTAATCAGTTTGGCAGGCCCTGACATTTGAAAAATGAATGAGGGCTGTAAACAGCCCCTGCCAAACAGTATGTGGGGGGCTGTTAGTGGGCTGATGGTTTATCATTATTCTTTGTTTACAAAATTGGACAATAAAAGTTAATTTGTATTGACCGAATTGTATTTTTTGTCTATTAAGTGAACCTGTGGTTGTATTTCAAGGGCAAAGTAGGGGTAAGAGACAAATATGAATCCTGGTGCATTGTCAGATGTTAAGTTATGTTTGCCAATTGTCAATTAAAGGCTTTTATGTATACTTCTTAATAGTATAAATATATACTGTGTTGTTGTTGGGATTTGGATTCTTCTACAGTAGGTGTCTGTGACTTGGCGATAAATTCAACGATAAATGAAAAGCACACGCTCCACTTGTTTTCAAAATGTATATATGTATTCGGAACAAGTTAAACATATGTGCAACAAATTCTTTACACTATAGAGATTATAGGCATGTCAAACACTATATATAGTTCTCTTCTTCTTGTCAAAAGTCCACTTTGGCTTATTCAATTGCTTTAGAATTTTAGTTGACAAGCTGAACTACCTTTCTTGATTTCTATTGCACTAGTATTCCGTGTATTCCTTACTCTGCCTCGTTGAGTTATTGTAGTTCTATCCTGAACTTCCAATGCTCGTCTGCTTTTTCATATTTAGGCCTACTTTCAATAATTGTCTGTTTCTTTGTCCACACAGTCAGGTTCAATTGCTTTAGAACACCCTTTGGTGAGACAAATTATTCTACTAAAGTGTCAGAAAACTGTTAAACTCACTTTAACATATCAACCATTAGGCTATTCACTCCTATGACAGTTAACTTTCATTTTCTAACATTTTCTATTGCCACACTTCTACTTCCTATTCTTTAGTCTTTCATTTGCTGTGTCTACTGTTTCTGCTCAGCTCACAATATTTATGTTTTATCACTTAATCGTTCACTTGCCTTCTAGAAATCTCTATATTCTCAACGTCGGTGTATTTCATGCAACATTCGATAGTCTCAACATCAGTGAATTATAAACAACTTCCAACAATCATCTGCTTTTAACTCTCTTATTATAAAAAACATACTAAACAATCATAAAATATTCACTCACAAAATAAATAAATTAATACTATCTACATTAAACATTCTTTTATATCATGGCATAAACCTCTCTTCAAGAGAAATATTTACATTATTTTTTCACTATATACAAAGACTGTTCTTAGTTCATCCACAAAGTCTGCTCATATAGTCTGCTCCAACATTTGCATTCCCTTTGATAACTTCAATGCAGAACCTTTAGTTCTGAAGGTACAATGCCCACCTCATGATCCTTGCACTGTTGATCTTGCACCTCTGAATGTATGCAAATAGTTGATGGTCTGTCTGTATGATGAACTCCTTACCATATAGATAGTTCTGGAACTTCCAAATGGCAAATATGATGGCCAGACATTCTCATTCAGTCACAGAGTAATTCTCTCTATTTAACTGCTTTTTACTTATATATGTTATCAGAAACAGTTCATCTTCATGTTCTTGTAAGAGTACTGCCCCAATTCCAATGTTTGAAGCATCAGTGTGAACAATGAATGGTTTGTTGAAGTCTGACATTCTAAGAATTGGTGAACTTCCCAACATGTTCCTTAATTTCTGGAATGCCACCTGGTGTTGTTGTTCCCACTTCACTTTGTTGGGCAAGCCTTTCTTGGTCAGTCAATGGCGAAGTAAGTTAAGCATAATTTGGGATGAATTTCCTGTAGTATCCCGCTAGCCTCAGGAAGGATCTGACTTGCTGCTTGGTTGTCGAAGCTAGTGTATCTTGTATGTGGATTATCTTTTCCATGGTTATCTGTTGGTCCCCCACTTTATGTCCAACAAACTCCAACATAGATATAGCACTTGGATGGCCGGATGGTGAGGCTTGCTGCCCTCAGTCACCGGAATAGCTAAGTCTCTTCAGGTGGTCTTCCCATTTTGCAGTGTATGTCAGAATGTCATCCACATAGTGCTTGATGTTGGTGGTGTTGCACAGTATTCTCCTCATCATGCAGTTGAATGTTGCTGCCGAGTTGACTAACCCAAATGGCATCTGCTTAAATTAGTAACATCCATCTTGTGTCACAAATGTTGTTTTCTTTTTAGATCCCATCTCCATCGGGATTTGCCAATAACCCTTACTGAGGTCGATCTTTGAAAAGAACCTGGCCCCATCTAGTTTTGCCGTCATAGCCTCTGGGTTGCTCATAGGTTCAGATTTTAACCTTGTCACAAGATTCAGCTTTCAGAAGTCTATGCAAAAATGGTGTGATTTGCCCCTTTTCTTCATGATTACAACTGGTGAACAGTAGGCTGAATTTTAAGGAAAATAATCTCCATCAGCAGTATCATCATCAAATTATTCCTGTGCAATCAGTTCTTGAAAAAGAATTTCATCTGTTTCAGTCTAATCACTTGATTTACTAGAATCCAAATCATCCTTAACATGATCTCCATATTCACTTACATCTTCATCACCAGCAATTTCAATTTCATTGTACATGTCTGACTTTCATTTCTTGGCTGCATGTTCTATAGACATGTTAGAAGGGTTTGTATCAAATTTCCTTTTCCTCATTTTTGCCATATACTTCTCCAAGGCTGCATCTAGTATTTGTTCACACAGAATCATTTGTTTTAATAAATAGGTTTTCCAATGTTTTATGTTTCATATTGAGTGAACATATGGGTAAGGTGACTAATCCTTGCCTCAACGATACTATATCTGGATCCTATGCAGAGCATTATTTCCACCAGCATACAAACATTCTTAAATTCTTTCCTTCTGTATAGAAGTACACTCTCTCAGAGATCCTTAGTTTTGACTCTGTTCATGTTGTACTTAACCATTCTCTTGTATTCTTTCCATTCTGAGCTTATCTTAGTTTTATCAGAATTGTTAATGTTTAGTGTCTCACAAAAAGCTCTACAAGTAAATTTAAACATTCAACTTCCCTGGTGGTGTTATGCTAGTTCGCTGGATCTATCCAAAACATACCTTGATAATGTTCACATTTAGATGACGAGAATCTTGATTCAAGACAAGGCTGTACACTTGGAGTGACTGTAATTCTTAGTTTGTTTACAGTTTTCTCAACACAGTCTACATTGTTCATTAGACTGTAGTTGACACTGACAGTAGTGTATTCCCTGTATTGTGTTTCTGATGCCCTATTTTAAGCAAAATGCTTTTAAGATGCCCAGAACCTGATTTCATTTTCAGTTCAAGTTTGAATTTTTTTCTATAGATACTCACAGTGTATACCTGAATTTTATTCCTGTCATTACCTGTCAGCTTCTCTCAGTACTGTTGGAAGTGGTGTCCTCATTGGTTTATTTTAGAATTTGGAAATTTTGATGTAGAAAGTGCAGTATTAGCAAAATAATCCAAACAAGTCGTTAACTATTTCATTTGGTGGAGAGACACCTTTTTTTCAAACTTTGGTTTGCTTGCAGCAGTTGAAGATATAATTGGAGGAGTTTCATGCTGCATAAGATTAATTGTTATAATAAAAGGCAACTATTGCACACCCTGCCGATTAGCAATTACAAAGAAAATTTTCGACTAAGTAAATTCAATGCACACTATTGTGCATGCAGAGCTCTGTTTATCCGAGGTTGAAGAGAAATGCTGGTAGTAGTAGAAGGACTATCATTAGCAGTACCACTGGTACTGGGAAGAGTCTTCTCATTATTTTCAAGCAACGTTTTTAAAGCCTTAAAAGCACAAATGTATAAATGTATAGATTTTCATAACATATATTCTAATAAAATAATTTAATAAAAACAGCAAAGCTTGAATTAATAAAATAAATGGACAGTATAATCTATATAAAAGATAATTATAGTGACTGATAACAGAAATTAACCAAAAATAATATATGTATAGGCCTACCAGTTTATTAAAGATAAGACAGTCATTGAACAGATAATACTGTACATGAAGTAAGAAATTTAATCATGTTTAAATTGATTTTTAGTAAAGGCCACAAAATGAGTTTTCTAATTACCTTAGTATATCACTGTATGCTCACTTGACACAAAGTTAACAAATAACCAAATCTAAAATTTACAAGTAACTTGAAAATCAATTTAAATATATGTCATCAAGTTAGGCCTTGACCAATAATTTATAAATGCATACAAAGTTGATGATAATTTTATTGTAAAATAAGCCTAATTAAATTGTTGAATGTGTCTAACTCACTATCAACTAAGTATACACTAACAACTGTTTTGTGAGCATCCGTTTTTCCTCTGCTTTGTGTGGATGTTTGCAATTTGCATACAAACATAGGCCTATACAGGCAATACTTGGGTTTAATTTTGAATCGGATTCAAAGGCAAATTTGTAACTCATTTATTCACTCATAAGTTTCTTTGTTATATGGTACCACTACTTTTATGAAGGTAACTTTTTTTTTCTATTTTTAAAGAGTAAGTGTAACTAAATAAAACTTATTCTTCATGCTGCAACAGTTAGTTTAAGAACAGAAATGAAATGTTGTTAGTCTACAAGTTTGCATTTTGGTTAAAGTTAATAAATTTCCAGTGGAACAAATATTTGTTAAAAGTCATTAAATTTCTGTCCTGCCTTCTAGTGTTTACATACATAACAGAAGTCAAAGTATAGTCTCAAAAATGTGTTAAATATAAATTTTCCTCTTCAGATCTGAAGATGTTGAGAAAATCCAACTTTCAGAAATAATTGTTAATCCGGGCGAGGAGAAAACTGGTCCAAAAGACTTCAAGCTGTTACGGGTACTTGGAAAAGGTGGCTATGGGAAGGTGAGATCACAGATACCTTATTTGGAATAACTACATCCCCAATGTACAATAGCCCCACAAATTCCTTTGTATAAAGATATACCATGAAAGACAACTTTATCAAAGCAACTGTAAAGTTTCAGGTTGTTGCTGGATATTAATGTGAGCTGGATTTCAGAAGACTGAGTTATCTAAATAAAAACAGTAATATAGTTTTTTAATTTTTAAAACAGCTCACATTGTAAGTTAGTTGTTGACTGGAAGGTAATCTGTGATATAAATCTGATCAAAAACAACTTAGGTGTGAAAAAAGGTGTGGCCAATTTTGATTTCATTCCTTTAAGTCGCATGCTTAATCCTTTTTTGGCTGCACCTTTTTTTTTTTTTCACAATTATTGTGTTTTTAATTATATATGACTTTTTGTCAATACAAATCAACAAACCACAGGAAGTAAGAAATTGACATTCAGTAGTAACCAACATTAGCTTTATATTGCAACCCTATTATTTGGAACAGACCTATACTTTACAGAACCAGTAAGATTCTTTAAAATATATGTTGATAGTTTTCCTCTGTGAAACAGTGTTAATAACTTTCTTTATAGTAATGCCATGTAATATAGATTAACAGTTTCTTGTCACACCACCATGCGTTTGGCACAACCATATTAAGAATCATTATTTATATTCATTGCTTAAGCTAATATCACGTGATGCTAAACGCTCTTTAATTAGGATAATTTTATAAAATTTAGCAAGTCTGTGCTTAAAAGTTCGCAATGAATATTGAATAATGACCATCCATCGTATGATTCTTTTAAAAACTTTAGCTAGAAACTGCTAATCTAGTTTGCTTGGCCTAACCAACACTTATGTATCTGCATGTGCTTTCACCCTATAGTTTTGCTGCTGTAAATCAGGTGTCTTTAATCTGAATGACAAAAAATGGTCTACTTTTACTCATAGGTGAAGCTGTTGTAAACATTTTAGACCAATAACTCGTGTGACGTTTTGCATAGGTGTTGAATAATTAATTGTAGGTGGCATAGATCTATCAGTGTGCCAAATTGGGAAAAATCCATAAAAGTTAAGTATGTTTGTTTATCAAATAAAGTTTCCATACTTTTGGAAACTGTAGTCCAAGCTACAGATAGGGGATAATTGCTAAAATATCACTCCTGTTAATAACGCACAGCGTGTCCTGCATGTTGTTTTGGCCACACAACAAATTACCATGTGCCATGATCATCCTTTGTTTTTATTGTTGTTTAATCTTGTGGAACAGCTTGCTTCAAGGTTATAGATTGTTTGAGACTAGATTGTTTGTCTAGTTAGGTAAGTATATTCGTTAACGACTACATTTATGTTGATTTTTATGACTTGTTACATAATTTGATGGACAAAATATTTTGTTTCTTTTCTTATATTCTTTTTTGTTTTATAATTTTACTTCCTATGGACACTTTTTTCCCTTGACTTGCTTGATATTTGTTTAAAACATATCCTTTGTTTACGTACTCTGTTGTTTGTGTTTTGAGGCTAGAATACATTCTTTGTTTATCTGTTTTGTTGTTTGTTTTACATGCTAGGAAACAATCTTTGTTTACATGCTCTGTTGTTTGTGTTTCCAGGTTTTTCAAGTACGGAAGATTACAGGAAAGGATACAAACAAAATATTTGCCATGAAAGTTCTAAAAAAGGTTATATTTTTTACTTAACATGAATTTGAATAGAATTGAAATATAGGTTTTTGATCATGATTAATTTTCTATGTGCTGGTGTTTTCAAAATATCTCATTTTTAAGTTATACTCATCAGATTGTTTTGGGGGTATACAATATGAAACAGAAGTATTCAATAAATCACTGTCAGAAGTTTTATTGAGTGATTGAAAAATAAAATGCTACAGCCAATTTTTACTTCAGAATTTCACACATGTTAATAAATGGTTATGAAATGAGAGTACAGCTCATATTTACATAGAATTTCACAGGTTTGTTTTTAATTGGTTATAAAGTCAAACTGTACAGAATTATCAATAAAGTCACTCATGTGTGGGATTGAAATGAAATTTACAATATAAAATCTTTCTCATTATTTGTCATGACTACCCTACGATGTCCCTATCATTGTGGGCATGGTGAACTTTTCTTGTTTATTTATAGCATTTAGAAATTATTTTGACTGTAACCTTCTTTTGAAGTTTTAATGCACTTGTTTGAAATACACATTTCAAGCAACTTGTATCTAGAGCTGGATGATGAATGGGATTTGGTTTTGAATAATCTTTGTGCTCATTAATTGATTACATTCAGCTAATTAATTATTCTCACATGAGACTTGGATAGTTGGAATAATAGGAAAGAGTAATAATCGGAAACAAATTCTGAAACGGTACTTACTACCTTTTGTTATGCAAAGCTATATCTATCTTGGTTTGCCCTTTAAGCACACCAATCTTTTATATACATTCATTTTTGCACCATTTCAGAACATGCAGATTGTGCGATAACCTTCCACCATCTACACTGTTGCAGCTTCCTATATTATTCTAGCACAATCCTCACTTTCTCAATTGGTATTCTAGTGTATAGGCATGTGTTTTAACTTGTTCTCCATGTCGACAATATCTGGTGGGGATGCACAGGCTTTAGTTCACCGGGAGTTTGTGTCTTAAGTTCAGCTGCCGATTTCTTCCTTTCACGTTATGATGTTTTGTGAGGAAGGATATAACTACTGTGTGGAAATTTCTTTCTACAGCACTTTCCACCTGTTACCTTGCCTCCATGTGATCTGCTGGGTTAGGTATTGTTCTTTTTCCCAGGAGATCTGAGGTAAGTTTTTCAATGTGTATTCCTCACTCGCAGTAGGTGTACCCATGTTTCGTGAGTTTATGTGTGCTTGTGTGGATGGACCTAATTTCCACATTTGATAATTGAGGTCTTTCATGTCTTCCCTGCTCAGCATTTGGTA